CTAGTTCTGAGCCCCAAAGGAGGCCACTGGCCAGCATCCTGATCCCTCCTGTTTCAAGTACTAACTGGTCAATCTTCCCGTGTAAGTGCTTCAATATAATGAAATTACCAAGCAATGAATCATGTTAATCCATTGCAACAAAAACTACAAATAAATCTCGTGGCACCTTCAAAATAAGTTTTATTAGGCATACATTTTCATGGACTGTAGTCCATTTCTTTAGATGCCTCAGAAGGAATGGGCTACAATCCATGGAAACGTCTGCTAAATAAAACTTAGGGTGTGATCAGAGAGAGAATGACGACAACTCGGACCACTTGGGGAGCAAGCTCATGATGCACAAGTATATGTGCTCCAGCCCAACTCCGATCCATGCTTCAACTTTTTAGAGGTGGGCTGGATTATTTCCCCAGAAAGGGAGATTGCTTCTATTAAAGCCACACTTGGCAGTACAATCAGACACTTTGTTTGCAGCTGATTGCACCCTTACTCATATTTAAGGTGCCATAAACCTCTGTCATTTCAATTTCATGGTATCTTTTTGTTGTTGTCTTGTTGCTTCCAGAGCTTGATCAGTGCACCCATAGTAAACTACTCACCAGGAACTGTGAATCGACGGTTTGATGACGATACGGTAGTTGTTAATCTGTAGAGAGAAAATGCATGTTGAATGCATTGGCAAAATACCTGCCATAAACCTCTGTCATTTCAATTTCATGGTATCTTTTTGTTGTTGTCTTGTTGCTTCCAGAGCTTGATCAGTGCACCCATAGTAAACTACTCACCAGGAACTGTGAATCGACGGTTTGATGACGATACGGTAGTTGTTAATCTGTAGAGAGAAAATGCATGTTGAATGCATTGGCAAAATACCTCTACTCTTCATTTCATGCAAGTTCTGATGTGTTTCTAGGTAGCTATACTATTACTTTTACACCAAGTAAAGTATAGTGATTTCTGTTATGGATGACTAACTTCTGATGCAGCAGTATTTTATGGTCGAATGCTTTATGCTAAAACTATTAATTCAAGCGGTTTTACTGCAGCTGCACCACAACTCCCTATTTGGAAACTGGAGATGACAGTGTCAGGAATGCAACACAAGCTTGACATTTCATTGCAACATTAAGGAACCCTGCTGCCATTGGGATAAAACTATGCAAACCAGATCCATACCTGGTAAAGGTAAGTGGTTTTCGTTCGTTCGGCTGGTCAAGCATGTTGACAGGGATGTAGTTTCTTTAATCCCATTCCAAAGTCATGAGTTGTAAGGGCTACCAGCTTGGGAGCCTTGTATTCTTTCTAGGAGGCATAACTACGTATACTAGTAGATGATAGACCAACGTGAAAGGGCTGTCCTGGGATATGGTTGTCCACAAAGTCAGGTTTTTTAGCAGGAGACTCAGGTATGATGAACCTTCTTTGTCCCTCAAGGCAAGCAGATACAGATCTCAGGTTCTGAGCGCCATGCTTTGGGAAGGAAGGTTTTGAAGGGGGGAAAAGAGCAATTTTTATAAATAAGTTTAATTATGAGAGTGGGCAATTTGTGGCCCTCCAGCTTGTTTTTTCTTTAAAAAAGACAAAGATGAGGAGTTTTAGGACTTGCAGTCTAACATCATCCCAAAGGTCACAGGTTGTACATCCCTGATATAAAAAAATGTTCTGTTCTGCTACCTGGGTACTATCCAAAGGAAATGTTCTTGAAATGCCAAGAAGATATAGATTTAAAACAAAACAAAACATAAATAGCTGTGTTTGTTAACAGAACTGACATTTTTGAGTGTACTCAGACCAAGAATGGGAAAGATCCATACGACCATAGCAATGTAAGCTACAAAAATAATCATCAAGCCATATTTACATTATCTATAGTGAAAACTGCCTATTCATTTTGTTTGTTTATTTATTTTAAACGTTTTATATGGCTAGCACTGTCCTGGCATTTGACAAAAGGCCAAACCTTAAACCCACCTGTTTTAGGGATTTACATTATATACCAGAGGAGAAGACTTATTTGTGCTTAAGAGGGGAGATAGGTAGAACCTCATTTTAGGCAAGTTTTGAATGACTGCCAAACCTGTTCTATTTTATCACTGTGAAAAACATGATTAACACACATTTGAAAATAATCTTTGGCTCTTCTGCTGAATGTTGGAATGTGTCCTAAAATTTCGTTATAATTCCTACATTGAATTGGTTACCCAGGTTATGCTTCACATTATGACGATGGTTCATGGATTCAAAAGAAATGAGGTAGGTGCATGGAAGGAGCCAAAACAACCTCTCCAAGGGCAGGGAAAGGTTCCCACAAACCATCAGTATCAATCCGTCAACCGGCACATCACCGCCCTTCCTCCCTGCACTCCCACTACAGATGGCTACAAAGGATTGCTTTGCCAGTTCTTCCATCTTTGTCTTTCTCTCTCTCACTGATTGTTTTCTGCTCCTTCTGACCCACCCCCAAGCCCAATACCAACCGGTCCAAAGTCTCCACATGGTTTAACAGAATGCAGTGATGCAAACAGCTGTTGCCATGGGGACTGTGACCACGTCTTCTGTTGCTGGGGGAGCCCCTGCAAACCTCAGACCTACATTGCACTCTAGGAACATCCAAAGAAGTGTGAGAACATTCTGCGAGGGAGCCCTGTTAGATTATAGTGAACATCAATTCAGTCAAATGTGTTTTCCACCACAGCATTTATTGCTAGGGGATCTGGGGAATTACAGTAAAATAAATAAACAAATTAGGGTATCGGTGCTCCAAACACAAAGACGAGAAGAAAACAATGTGAAAGCTTTTACTGAATAGCATCAGAGTCTCAAGTGGTTTCCAAAAAAACAAAAAAGACACACAAATGACATTCTCAATCGTCCTGTCCCAGCCTGTGTCTTGGAAAGCTAAATGACAGACAGGAGAGGAACAGGTGTTGATATTATTTTAGTTTATATTCCTCTGCTGGGCACAACTTCACCTTTTGGTAGCTGTCAAGCTGCTTGAACAGATACAGGAGAGACAGACACAAAGCCATGCGAGGAAGGGGGAGGGGGGGCTAATGAGTTTCCTGCTGTCAGTACCATGTGCAGTGCAAATGTCCACACAGCCAGCATATCCACACAGTAAGAAACCTGGGAGGTGCTGCTTAAAGATGGCAAAGCCCATACATGGAACAGGCAAACAGTGGATCCTAATACCCAGAAACAGGTAGGGACCCACAACAAAAGTCGCTTGAATTACAACAAGGGAATGTGTCACTTCAAGCTTCATTGGCTCACTTTCTCTGGTTCCCATCTAGCTCCTGAATCTCCTCCTGGTTGGCCTCTACGTCTCCCACTCAGAGAAGACCAGAAGATGTGTGAATGAGGAAATGAGTGAAGGATCCTGTTCTAAACATGGCTCCATAGATGACTGTCATGTATGCCTGCCAAGCATTGGAAGCTTGGGAAGGTTTTAAAGCAGCAGAGATAACAGGCTAGCTTCTTTCAATCATTTAGTCGTTTAGTCGTGCCCGACCCTTCATGACCCCATGGACCAGAGCACGCCAGGCTCTCCTATCTTCCACTGCCTCCCGGAGTTGTGTCAAATTCATTCTGGTAGCTTCGATGACATTGTCCAACCATCCCATCCTCTATCGTCCCCTTCTCCTCTTGCCTTCACACTTTCCTAACATCAAGGTCTTTTCCAAGGAGTCTTCTCTTCTCAAGAGATGGCCAAAGTATTGGAGCCTCAGCTTCAGGGTCTGTCCTTCCAGTGAGCACTCAGGGTTGATTTCCTTTAGAATGGATAGGTTTGTTCTCCTTGCAGTCCATACATCACTACAGGAAAAACCATAGCTTTGACTATGCGGACTTTTGTTGGCAAGGTGATGTCTCTGCTTTTTAAGATGCTGTCGCTTTCCTTCGAAGCAGGTGTCTTTTAATTTCGGGGCTGCTGTCACCATCTGCAGTGATCATGGAGCCCAAGAAAGTAAAATCTGTCACTGCCTCCATATCTTCCCCTTCTATTTCCCAGGATGAGATGGGACCAGTGGCCATGATCTTAGTTTTTTTGATATTGAGTTTCAGACCGTTTTTAGCACTCTTCTCTTTCACCCTCATTACAAGGTTCCTTAATTTCTCCTCACTTTCTGCCATCAGAGTGGTATCATCTGCATATCGGAGGTTGTTAATATTTCTTCTGGCAGTCTTACCATAATTCCGGTTTGGGATTCCTCCAGTCCGGCCTTTTGCAGGATGTATTCTGCATATAAGTTAAATAAGCCAGGGGACAATATACAGCCTTGCAGTACTCCTTTCCCAATTTTGAACCAATCAGTGTTTCCATATCCAGTTCTAATTCTTGCTTCCTGTCCCACATATAGATTTCTCAGGAGATAGATAAGGTGATTAGGCACTCCCATTTCTTTAAGGACTTGTCATAGTTTGCTGTGGTCCACACAGTCAAAGGCTTTTGCATAGTCAATGAAGCAGAAGTAGATGTTCTTCTGGAACTCTCTGGCTTTATTCATTGCTATGCTGTTTGTTTGTTCCTTCCCTATCTTTCCTAGCCTGATATGACTGCCTGTATGTATAGTCTTTTATGTGTGGTTTGGGGAAATAACTCTTTGTTTATGCTCCCCTAGACATCAGCTTGCAATGTACAAGTCAGTGTGAATCAGGCTGGTATTTTCCCCTCCTAATCTGTATTTTTTCCTCCACAGCTTCTACCTTTTTTTGCAAAGCAAGTGTATTTGCATCACTTCAGGTGGTGTGACTGCTTGTACTGCTGTAGAAAAATCAACAGACACTTGTACATGGGGTATGCGGGGTGGTGCTGAAGCAAAGGGGCAATAGCTGGGGTATCAGTTCTCTTCAACTGAGCACCTATTTTCTCCACTTTTCTTTTCTATAAAGCTTCATGTCAGTGCTAGAACAAAGTTGCAGTACAGCATCTAGGAGACCAATTAAAAAGTGAGGGAGAGAAAGAGGAGGAAATTGCCAATCAGCACTTGTCTGCAGCTTGTTAAGTGCTGGCTGGAAATGTCCTCCTCTCTCTCTGCTGACTCAATGCTGGGAATACACTGGGATAGAACAGAGAGACAGATTTACCTTTACCTAACATTTGGCAGAATGCTGGGTTTTGTATGTTGAAGAGTTTCAGTTTTTGAAAACTTCACTTACAGAAATGCTTACAAGGATGTTTTTAAGGCATTATTGCAACATTTTAAAAATCAGCTTGCTGAATTCTACATGCGTTACCACTTCATTGTTTCCACTGGCCTTAATTTTCCTAAATGAATCAGGAGAATATATATTTGACTGTTTGAAAAGCTATTAATGTTAGGATAATAGAATCATCTTGATTACTTATTTGACATGCTTTCTCTTTTATAGAGAAGGGCCATATTCATCCATTAGTATTACACTGGATAAAACAAGATGCCCAGAAGATACCTTAGGTGACCTACCAGCATATTTTAGCAGAGATTAACAGTTCATGGGAAAATATTTGTGACTTCCACATGTTCTATGATAGCAGTAATAAAATTCCTGTGCTCCTATTTTCAGTCAGCCTAAGTAAAAGAAGACGGTTTAGCATTCTATGATGTTCATTCAGTTCCAGTACTCAAAAGAAACTTCAGGGCTCAGGATTCTTCTGTTTTAACTGTGTGTCACTTGCAATAGGCAGAATCCAATGGATGGACCTCAGAGCTGAAGCCCACCTCTCTCCAAGATAAACCAATAGCAGTTCCACATGGAATCTAAAGCAGACCTTCACCTCCTGAGGAAGATTAATATATATATTTGGTTCTGAATAACAAAAACAAACCTTTGGCCATAATCTTACATTCCACATAAGTATATTATTATCCTCAACATGTGATGACCACAAAGCAGAGCATAGGCACACCAAAATTACTTTCCTCCAGACTTCCAGTGATTTCTCTCTCTCTCTCTCACTCTCACACACACACACACACACACACACACACACACACACACACACACACACACATTATGTGTTTAGATTAGCTAGATGCCCTTACACGAAAAGGACGCAACATTTTCACTTAAAAGAACACAATGGTCTGCCACAGCCTGATGGGCCTCACCCACAATAGCATCCTATAAGCGCAGAGACACCACAGAAAAAGCCCTTCCTACATAGAATGAATAGTATTTCTACCAGAGGCAGAATATATGTTTCACATAACTGAATCAGGAAAAAAAAATCTGTAACACAAATAAACCTTCTGGAAATAATTTTTTTTCTCCACCCTACTCTTTTTGTTGGGTTCCAAAAGAAGTGCTTTATGAGTTCAGGGCCAGAAACAGTGCCTTGCTTCTGCTGCAGCCTCCCCACTGGCGTTTTACTGAATCTTGAGCATAACACATTTTAGAAGCTTATTAAATCGTTCTCACAAGGTTTTTTAGTTGATAGTGCTCATGTCTGTCACTTCTTTACTTACTCCCCTTTATAACTGTGTCTAGGTCTTGTGTGGATGAGAAAACTCCCAGCTGTGTCCACAGCAATTCAACGATACAAGGCAGTGCTATGGCACCTCTATGTGTCCCCTTTAAAAGTGTAGGTAATTCAATGATGGGTCATGACTGGATCATGGGTCATGGCCTCTCTCATTTTGAAGAGACACCTGTCCATCAGGCCGAGGCAAAGAGACAGTCCCGAAACCAGCAAAACCAGGGAGCTGGACAGATTGTATTTGTCTTCAGCGTGGAAGGGATGGTCACTCTCGAATTGGCCTTCTCAGCCACACTAGACGCTGTACCAAGACCTCTACTCAAAGCATGTTACCATAGTCTCTCGAGACTAAAGGATGCCTAATCTAATCTAATCATGACTGGAGCAGGTGGTGGCTCCTCATCCGTGTCCACAAAATAACCTATTGAGATTTTGATATGAAAATGTATTAAATATTAATTTTAAATAGTTAAATTTAAAATGGCTGATTTTACCTGAGTCATTGTACTGATTGTATTCCGGTGTGGGTATCAAGGATTAAGACTTAATGTTGTACAGCTGTGGTACATGATGAAAATTTGTGCAACAGAAAATGAAGTAACGCATTTTCTGATTGGTCACAGAACTGTATATAAGCCATGTGTAAAATGAACGTCTTTATCTGCTGTAAGTCAGATCACTTTTTCCTACACTGTGTGTTGCTTCATGTCATGTTATGCTGCCAGAGGAATGTCAATTGTCTATGTATATATGTAAATAGACTAAGTTGTTGGTTTTACTCTCTCAGTATCATAGTGTCATAAGTATCTCTGCTAACCAATATCTCCTTACTCTGCTGATGTTATGAGAATGCACGTTTCTCTGTCACCCCCACCCCATCCAAGATACGTACATAGTAAAGGCAAGTACTGTACAGTACCTACAAAGCTTAGCGATCTCAGATACTGTTACCAATGGTTAGGTTGGATTAGATTCAGCAAGCCATCTTCTCTCTCTCTCTCTCTGTCTCTCCCCCACTGTAACTGCACCTCTGCTCAAGAT